TAATTGAAAAAGTTACATCACTTGTATGAATTACATGTTTCAAAATCAATTACAATATGTTGACAAAATATGAAAAGTTTGAAACGTCCCATCCTCAAAAGCACTTGATTACCTGTTTAGTGTTTTCCTGAGAATACGAGTTGTTTGAAAAGTGTCAACACAAAGGTTGGTGAGTTCATAAGCTTTTATTAATAAACTTAGTAGAAGTCTATCACATGTAAATGTCGCGTTTGTGTCAGAAAAATCCGATATTTTCCTTGAATCCGAAAAAATGTAGCCTTATAACCAAAGACTAAAATGTATAAGAAATCATCATTTCTTAGTAGAAATGTCGTGAGTTTAAAATGATATGGAAAGTAAATTTCTTTATCAACCTAAAACCTACTTCGGTTTTATGAAACCCCGTAAACTTTATGAATTGTTATCTCCCTAGGTGAGTCGCTATAATCATACTGTGACTATGTGAACCTGCCACAACGTTTCTCAGGCGTCGCGAAAATGAAATGACATTTGTCACCCGTAGACCTGCAGGTCCCACTGTAGCTAGCAGCAAGGTGTGGGGTGTCAAACCCAATATAGATCTATATACAAGTATCACGTTCTCCCTCAAGGAGATTTTGATTATAACTACCAGGAATTATATCCCGCACTCGGACGTACGGGGAGAGAGAGTCTCACAACATAGGTTAACAAGTTTACGTGAAATGTGTGTGGATATAAATCTTTCTTGTATGAATGTACCCTTTTTGTACGAGTGTGTTGAGTGATGTATCATAAACTATACCTATTATAGTTTATCTAAAATGTATATAATATGTATGAATTCTTTTTATGGAAATGTATTAGTGTTGTGAATTTATCCAACTATACTTTTTATAGTTACATAATACGTGTTCTAAATGAATGAATAATATTTAATATGAATAACTTAGTTTCAGTTCACAATGATAAACTAACAAGGAAACACATTCAAATATTAGAACTTATGATTATACACTTTGCTCAACATATTACAAAGTGTTATGATATTTACATGCTGTTGGCTAACTTTAGCAATTCTGCCCAGTTTTGTAAAAATCATAGAAAAATCATACGAAGTCGAAAACTAGATCCGTAAATTCTGAGAGTTCACAAAATGTGTCTAGTTTACTCATAATTTTATCACGATTTTTAATGACCTCCAACTTGGGTGAAAATGTCCATAATCACAGACTGGTCCGGATTGTTGTTTGAAATGATAGGCAGTTTTGTAAAAATCACCATAAATTGTAGAAAAATCGTATGGAGATGTGCAAGTAGTCATTTTAAAGCTACAAACTTGAACTATTTGCACCTTGTACAGTTTTGAAAACAAAAATGTTTAAGATGCCCAAAACAGTCCGTGAATGGAGTTGAACTTTTCTGATGAAGGCTGTTAGAAAATTTAATTATGTTCTTAGTGTTTTAACTTGTATTCCCCCCTGAAAACTTGAGAAAACATGAAAATGTAGGGGTATGAACTCACCTTAAGTGATTTCAGTAGGTAAGTGTTGAAGAAGATAAGTGTTCAACCCAAGAACACTTGAAGAATCACTTGAAGATTCGAAGATCTAACACAATTATGAGAGAGTTTGTCTAAGATATCCATGATTTGAGTGGAAATAATGAGATAATCATAAAGAGAATGGATTATGCTTACCAAATGTGGAGGAAAAACTCAAGATCAGCCCTTGAATCTCGAATTTCTAGAGAGAGAAAGTGAGAGAGGAAAGAGTTTGATCTTCTTGTGAAATGAGAGCAAATGAGAGAAGTGAGGAGAGAGGATGAATATTCAGCACCCAAAAACGTGGGAAAGAGGATAATTGAGTGGAAAAGACATTGATGTGACCTAGGTAAGGTGGGGAGGTGTGGCTGGTCATAGAGTGGGTGTGGGAGTGGTTGCTTGTGTTATAAGGTAAAGCAAAGTCAACACTCCACCTCTTTGTACTTTACCCACTTGCTTTCATTATTTAAATAAAGATTTTTATGAAAATATGATTAAATTGTGAATATTTAGGGTTTATTATGTTAAAATATGATTTTGGGTGAAATTCCCACGTTAAAATAATTAAAAACGGGCCTTAAACGCAAAACTACGCGAAAACCGGGAGAAAATGAGTTCCCAGCGAGACCTCTCGGTCCTAGGCCGAGGTTCGGTCCCTAGGCCGAGACCGGTCCACGCTGAGGACTGTAGCCGGAAACGAACAGAGGGAAACGAAAGGGGCGAGTCAGACGCGAGAAGCGATGGGCGAGGGTTCGGTCCGAAGGGTCAGTGGGGTTCGGTTCGGGAATAAGAGGCGAGAATGTCAGAACCGAACGTACTGTAGTGAACAGTACCTTCGGTTCGGTTGGTGAACAGTACCTTCGGTTCGGTTCCTCTTGAGCAGGGTTCGGTTTCGGTTAGTGGTGAACAGTACCTTCGGTTCGGCTCAGGAGGGTTCGGTTCGGCTCAGGAGGGTTCGGTTCGGCTCCTCTTGCTCTCAGTCCCTAAGAGGACCTTCGGGTCCTAAGAAGCTTCTCTCTTGGTTTCGGTTCCTAATGTCTATTTTTCTCGTTTTTACCCCGTTTTAAGCTGTTTTTGACACGGTTAAGCGTCGGAATGACCCGAATGATTCTAAAAAGTTACGGGAACTATTTGAGAGAGATTCGGGAGAGATTCGCATACTTGGAGAGATTTGGGAGAGATTTGACATTCTTGGAGAGATTTCTCATACAAAGAGATATTTGCGAGAGTTTTCATACTTAGAGGGATTTGGGAGAGATTTGACATTCTTGGAGAGATTTCTAATACAGAGAGATATTTGAGAGAGATTTCGCATACTTGGAGAGATTTGGGAGAGATTTGACATTCTTGGAGAGATTTCTCATACAAAGAGATATTTGCGAGAGTTTTCACATACTTAGAGGGATTTGGGAGAGATTTGACATTCTTGGAGAGATTTCTAATACAGAGAGATATTTGAGAGAGATTTCGCATAATTGGAGAGATTTGGGAGAGGTTTGACATAGAGAGAGATAGTGTGGAAACGATTGAGAGAGGTTCCATGTGGGATAGTTGTGAGTGTCCGACATCGAAATGTATGGTTTGTGAACCCTGTTAAGCCTTGTTTAAGGATCTTACACACTCCCGATGAGTATGCAACATTGTTTTATCGTTCTAGTTCATTGATTAGAACTAGGGTTTAGGAAATTTTTAACACAAGACTTTTCTCAAGTGATGTTTTCCCATTAATATAGCAAGTTATACAGTATGAACATAACACAAACCCTAATACACAAGGTTTAATCAAGTTGACCGGTCTTGACTTGATGATTTGACTTGACTCAAGATTGACGATTGTCACACTTACAAAGGTCCAGAAGAATGCCAAATTATAGAATGGTGACTTGCTTGCTTGATATTTGCTTCATTCCTCCTCCTTCTTCCTTGTTAACTTCAAAAAGCACCAAAATAGCTCTAAAAATGGAAGAAGATGATTAAGGTTTCTTTCAGGGCTTGAGGGGCTGATGATGGACAAAGCATATCCTCCTTATTCCTTTAAATAGGGAGAAAAAACCTGAAAGATTAGGGTTTTCATTCCAGCCGTCAACACTCTGTGTTTCAAGAGGCAACACGTCGTGTTGACCTTAATGAAAACCGTGTATCATCCGATCTAGACATGCCATGTTGGTTCCTCCAACATGCCGTGTCCAATCCTCAAAAGGGGATTTATTCTCAACTGTTGTTCCTCAAGATTCAGGATGTTACAACTCTCCCCCACTTAAATTTGATTTCTTTCTTGAAATCATTCCTTACCATTCTAGACACACCAGACAGGCTCAAAAATGCAACCACAACCTCGAGCATACAAAGACCTTCCCAACTTTACCGAAGCTAACCTTAGAAGAACTCTCTAAAACCGATGATGAACGACTCATTAATCCCTTGCAGAAAACCACATCTACCTTACCCGAAACCCGAAATCTAAAGTCTCAAATTGGTTTGACTCCCTGACAGACCGCCCATATTGAATGACTTCCACACCGAAACCTCATTGCATTCCAGACCAAACAAAATGCTTCCAACCCTTGATTATCTTGATTCCTCCATTCAGAACAAAATCACTAGCCATTTACTACTATAGAACTCTTATACTTAACAAAAGGCTCAGATAATCCTTCAAGTAGAAGATTCGTCCCTGCACTGGTTAGAATCAGATGAGAACTGCACTACAGTGTCAAACCAATTACTCCGAGATTATTTAATCCAAAATGCAAGTCACTTAGCATATTACCCGAATAACAAGCAACTCCACACACAAATCCCAAATCACTAATATCTCCTAACTCATCTTGCTGCCCTCTAGCTACTTTCTAAAAGCAACTGAGATCTCCTAGGTCCCAACTTGCCTGCCAACTCACTGATCCACCGGATTCCCACCTAGTTGTCGACTCCAAAAGACACACACAGTTACCACATGCGACTTTCGAAACAAAGCCTCATTTGGCACTAATTGCCTGTCACACCCCCGACCGAGGCAGCGGAACATGCCAGGATGTGCGACTTTGTTCATGGATCGCAGGTAAACTAAATATACAACACAGGTACAACAATAAACAAAATATCATTCATGTTCCATCTTGATATTTGAATACAAGGGTTTTACAACTAATAATAATACAAGAACTACCTTAATAGGTACGCATATAATACAATAGGTAAAGTAGGTCACTTGTAATCAAATCCATATGGAATGTCTGTTTAGTGACTTCCTGAGAATACATATAGTTTTAAGGGTCAAAACAAGGTTGATGAGTGTTACAGGTTTTCTGCTAAATGCAGTAATACTTTTAATAATTCTAAAAAGTGTTATCTTTGTATGTTAATAATAATAAAAATAGTGTTTGCAATGAGTCTTTAAAAGCCCAAAATGTATTTATTTATTAGTAAATCCATACCTTAAATTGTGTTCATAATAAACCTTTAAATATCCTTGAAAAGCAAATTGTTATGTTGCATAAGTAATTCCTTACTTAAAAATAGTTTTGAAGGCAACCAAACCCATGTTTGTTAGTGGGAGAGAGAGATATTCTAGTTAATGTTTTTAGTGAGTTCTATAACCGAAATGTGTGACTGAAAGTAACCCCCCTACACCACTTCATTGGACGTTGTAGTAAAAATTGTAGACACATATCACTCGTTTCAGTTGATCAGTAGAGGTTGTAGCTAGGAACCGCAGGTGGGGATGCCAAGCTCATATAGATCTACACATATGTATCTTGCTCCAAAGATTAATGGTTATAGTAACTTGGTTATGATAAGTGTTTAGAAACAGCTAATGAATAACGTAGTGTCTCACTAAAAATCCCTTAACTAAAAATTTTGTGAATAACTCTCAGCCCTAACTTTCTTATAGGTAATTTCTAGGCGTAATGAATATCATTGTATAAAGTTTATAAAAGCCGAGTATGTTTTACATATATGTAAAAGTGTAATGTGCTCGCTTTTATAAAAAATGAATGTTTCAAATTAATGAACATATCACTACAAGAAAAACGCAATTTTGCTAGGGAAGGTTACTATGGAACGTATTTTCGTTGTTAATCTGCAATTGATCGTGCTATGGAATGTTGTTCCATTGCAATGTTGCTACCACATTGTCTACGGATTGTATTTATGGTAGCTAGAGTGGGAGTTTCTATGGAAAATTCTACTGACTCCATATCCGTTGGTATTATGCTACCGATAGTTCTATGGAACAAAAATTTGTAGCAATTTTCCAACGACATTTGTTACCAAATCACTTTCCATTGTACTGCTGCTATGGAATTCATTATCGTGGTTACTATGAAACAGAGTTTGTGATGGACACCAATTCCATAGTTGAATTGCTACGGAGGTACCATTCATAGGTATTTGCTAGGGAATTCTGCTATGGAATATGATTTCGTTTGCTTGTTTTGTTATGGAACAAAACACATAGCTAATTTTTGATGGCATTTGTTGGGATGTTGTATGCTTAATTAATCTTCTTATACTATGGATGAATTATTATTATGATCAATGGAATTTGTAAGATATGGTTTGAATGTAATGTTTTTGAATTGGTAATATGTGTCATAAACTAATGGATAAAAAATGTAAAAATGAATTATAAAGTAGATATTGTTGGCAAGCAAACTCGAAATTAAGATTATGTTAGAAAAGGGGGCGGTTAAGCCAGTTGTGCTAATCAAGTTGTGTATAATTTCTTGAAAACATAGTATATAATGAATAATTAACAACGAATTCATTACAAAGTTATTTTTAATTACATTAACCAGGCATGTTAAAGTATATATAATCTATGTAGATTAATTTTTCTTAATAAATAATTTATTACAAACTTATTTTTAATTACATTAACTATACTTCATCACAAAAATAACATGGGTTTTACGTATACTTCTTCCTACTCAAACAACATAGCAAGCAAAAATGACTAAAATGCCCTTTTAACAGAACCATGTAAACACAAAACCAAAATAAAATTATAGTAGTACTATACAACTTCATAGAAATTACAATAAGAACACTAATATTCAATGTCCATTCTATTATCAACCATTAGTATTTTTAAGAAATATACAAAACCTACCATACTTTGCATACCAACGAAAAACTATGCAGTATATTAGTCGATCCTCATCCTCTCCATGGCTTATTGCGAATGCAACTTCAACAGAATAACGTGGGTCTTCACATTGGAATGTGATGTTATTCATTGTAAGTCTATGAACAACACCAACATCCCGCAACAACTCTTTGGTTCTATCAACAACACCCGTGTACTCCCCATCATCCAGAACCGCCCAACCAAAATAGGCATCACGTAATTTTAAACCTACACATTAAAATATCCATCAATTAATCCAATGTACCCTTTTCAATAAAATAGTAAATATTATACAACACAACACAACTATATATGTAAATTAAATTATATATATATATATATATATATATATATATATATATATATATATATATATATATATATATATATATAATTTAATTTACATATATACCATATATAAATACCTTCATCACATTGATGAGGCCCTCATAAAATGTGGATCATTCCAAGAAAATAAATTGCCTCAAGATGATCTTCATCTCCTGCTTGTCTCAACAAATTCATTCCTAAATCAAAATTGCCATAATAAAAGCACTCATCCTATTGCCAGAATAACAATATCAATATATAACATCAATGACACTAAATATTAATAAATTTTATAGATTACATATAATTATTGAAACTACACATACAATTCCTTGTCTGAACATGACTTCAATGTTATTATGCAATGCACATGTGCGTATAAATAAACCAACTTTCAGATTTTTGGGACCCATTCCCTCAAACATGTCAATGCATGATGTTCTGTACACTTGAGGATAAATCAACTTTCTGAACATGACTACAATTGTATTTTATATGTATTTAATACTAGGAAAGAACAAACATTTGCTACATACAACTATAATCACAATATAATATAAACACTAATATTAAAAGTCCAAAATACATTATTCAAACATTATTTAAACATCATTCCAAAGTTTAAGTCTTTTAGTCCCTTATTAACACACAACATATTTACTAATCAAGTAACCAACATCAAATAATTACTTATCAAGTAAATTACTATATATTCGTATATTAAACCAAAAGAATCTACAAAGCATTAATTGTCATAATATGAGAGTACATATCAACAAACTACTCATAAATTATACCAAACTCCCAAGAAAACTTAACAAAAGAAGCATCCCATAAACAAATTTCACACATTAACACCCATTTGTATCCATTTACAAAAGAATCTGACACACTAACTACATACTTATGCAATGCACAAGATCTATGGAAGCCATGGAAGTTAACATGTTTTCCTCCCGTCTATATTTAAGTGGAGATCAACCATAGAACAAGTTGCTCTAAGATTCCACTTACCATTTGCTCTGCGGTAAGCATTGTTCAACATGTCCAAAGCTTCCTGCTTCCTATATCTCCCTTCAGCCATCAGCATCATTCCCGGGACAAATGTTGAATCCAAATGTCCCAATGCAGATGCTTCTTCAAGCATCGTTTTCCCTTCATGTTCAGTTTCTAAGAAAAATAACTTCATCTGAAAAAAGCATTAAACATATAATTTCTAGTTAAAGTTATGTAAAACAAGTAACAGATTAATTACTGCTATGCATATATATAACAACGTACCAATCCATTCCTAAATAGAGTATTTGGGATTCTCATCTCTATGCATTTATTGACAACTGCATGTTTCTGGTCAGACCGAACACAAAATCGTAATCCTTATAACTCCATATGTATATATACTTCATTCGTTTTTCCTGCCTCGTTGAAGAATCTACAACTTCAAATGAAACACAATATTCGCTCCATAATGTAAAGACAAGTCAATTACACTTGTGAACTAGAATGATCAAAGGCAAACATCACACACTCATCATCCTAAAAGCCTCGACTACTAAATTTTTTTCCAAGTCGACTATTATTTTCTCCATCACTCAAATGCATGTCTGTTAGCGATTTCATTTGATTTCTTGATTGATTCTTAGAAGAAGTATTGGCCTCCATAATAATAAACATTCACTAAGATAACGATTCTATGAAAATGATTTTAGGGGTTTTTTACTGTCGGAATTTTGAAATTGGGGTTGTTTGCAAGTGACTTAAATAAGAGTGAAGAACTGAAACAACGTGTTTCGTCGGAAAACATTCTACCATGTAGAATATGTTCCATTATAAAATGACCAAATTGTCCTAATCCATACAATGACTCGTATTTAATTAGTAAGGGTAGTTTTGTAAAAAGACATATTTAAAAGAAAAACTAAATTTTATTTTGATCAAGGTTGTAAAAATCGCTCATCCATCGCTCGACGATCGACTGGCGATAAGCGATTAATCAGACTCAGCTGTGATTAATCGGGGACCCTAAATTATTAATAAAATAATTTAAAAAAATAATATTTCCTACAAAATTAAGTATTTGAAAATTTTGAAATTTAATACACAACTGGCACAAATGATATATGTTGACCAATGACCCATATGTCATCCATATATCAACCACGGACACCATAAGCAACTATCATGTTGACCAATGACCTGTATTTCATCCATGGTACACCATAAGAAACTATCATGTTAACCAATGGCCCATATTTCATCCATAGACACCATAAGCAACTACCATGTTGACCAATGACCCGCATTTCATCCATAGGTGATACCATCACACCATAAGCAACTACTATGTTGACCAATGACCCATATGTCCTCCACGGACACTATAATCGACTACCATGTTGACCAATGACCCATATTTTATCCATGGACACCATAAGTAACTACCATATTGACCAATGGCGCATATGTCATCCATGGACACCATATTCAACTACCATGTTGACCAATGACATGTACTACATCCATGGACACCATAAGCAAGCACCATATTGACCAATGGCCCATATGTCATCCATGGACACCATAAGCAACTACCATATTGACAAATGACCTGTATATCATCCATGGGTGATACCATCACACCATAAGCAACTACCATGTTAACCAATGACCCAAATGTCCTCCATGGACACCATAATCGACTACCATGTTGACTAATGACCCGTATTTCGTCCATGGACACCATAAGCAACTACCATATTGACCAATGTCCCATATGTCATCCATCGACACCATAATCAACTACCATGTTGACCAATGACCCGTATTTCATCCATGGACACCATAAGCAACTAACATATTGACCAATGGCCCATATGTCATCCATGGACACCATAAGCAACCACCATGTTGACCAATGACCCATAATTCATCCATGGGTGATACCATCACAATATAATCCACTACCATGTTGACCAATGACCCATATGTCCTCCATGGAAAACAAATTGATTACCATGTTGACTAATAACCCGTATTTCATCCATGGACACCATAAGCAACTACCATATTGACCATTGGCCCGTATCTCATCCATGGACACCATAAGAACTTACCATGTTGACCAATGACCCGTATTTCATCCATGGGTGATACCATCACACCATAAGCAACTACCATGTTGACCAATGACCCATAAGTCCTCCATGGACACCATAATCGACTACCATGTTGACAAATGACCCGTATTTCATCCATTAACACCGCAAGCAACTACCATATTGACTAATGGCCCATATGTCATCCATATATCATCCATGGGCACCATAATCAACTACCATGTTGACCAATGAACCGTGTTTCATCCATGGACACCATAAGCAACTACCATATTGACCATTGGCCCGTATCTCATCGATGGACACCATAAGAACCTACCATGTTGACCAATGTCCCATATTTCATCCATGGGTGATACCATCACACCATAAGCAACTACCATGTTGACCAATGACCTATAAGTCCACCATGGACACCATAATCGACTACCATGTTGACAAATGACCCGTATTTCATCCATTAACACCGCAAGCAACTACCATATTGACTAATGGCCCGTATGTCATCCATATATCATCCATGGGCACCATAATCAACTACCATGTTGACCAATGACCTGTGTTTCATCCATGGACATCATAAGCAACTACCATATTGAACAATGGCCCATATGTTATCCATGGACACCATAAGCAACTACCATGTTGACCAATGACCCGTATTTCATCAATGGGTGATACCATCACACCATAAGCAACTATCATGTTGATCAATGACACATATGTCCTCCATGGACACTATAATCGACTACCAGGTTGACCAATGATCAGTATTTCATCCATGGACATCATAAATAACTACCATTAATAGCCTAAATGTCATCCATATGTCATCCATGGACACCATAATCAATTACCATGTTGACCAATGACCCGTATTTCATCCATGGGTGATACCATCACATCATAAGCAACTACCATGTTGAACAATGATCCATATGTCCTCCATGGACACCATAATCGACTACCATATTCACCAATGACCCGTATTTCATCCATGGACACCATAAGAAGCTATCATATTGACCAATGGCCCATATGTCATCCGTACGTCATCCATGGACACGATAATCAAGTACCATGTTGAGCAATGACCCGTACTTCATCCATGGACACCATAAGCAACTACCATATTGACCAATGACCCATATGTCATCCATGGACACTGTAAGTAACTACCATATTGAACAATGGCCCATATGCCATCCATGGACACCATAAGCAACTACCAGTTGACCAATGACCGGTATTTCATCCATAGGAGATACCATCACACCATAAGCAACTACCATGTTGACCAATGACCCATATATCCTCCATGGACACAATAATCGACTACCATGTTAATTAATGACCCATATTTCATCCATGTACACTATAAGCAACTACCATATTGACCAATGGCCGATATGTCATCCATGGACACCATAATCAACTACAATGTTGACCAATGACTCGTATATCATCCATAGACACCATAAGAAACTATTATATTGACCAATGGCCCATATGTCATCCATGGACACCATAAGAAAATACCATGTTGACCAATGACCCGTATTTCATCCATGGGTGATACCAATACACCATAAGCAACTACCATGTTGACCAATGACCCATATATCCTACATGAACACCATAATCGACTTCCATGTTGACGAATGACCCGTATTTCATCCATGGACACCATAAGCAACTACCATAAATGGCCCAGATGTCATCCATATGTCATCCATGGACACCATAAGCAACTATCATGTTGACCAATGACCTGTGTTTCATCCATGGGTGATACCATCACATCATAAGCAACTACCATGTTGACCAATGACCCATATGTCCTCCATGGACACCATAATCGACTATAATGTTGACCAATGACTCGTATTTCATCCATGGACACCATAACAGGTATCATATTGACCAATGGCCAATATGTCGTCCATATGTCAACCACAGACATAATAATCACCTACCATGTTGACCAATGACCCGTATTTCATCTATAGACACCATAAGCAACTACCATATTGACCAATGGCCCATATTTCATCCATGGACACCATAATCAGCTACCATGTTGACCAATGACCCGTATTTTATCCATGGGTGATACCATTACACCATAAGTAACTACCATGTTGACCAATGAACCATATGTCCTCCATGGACACCATAATCAACTACCATGTTGACCAATGACCCGTATTTCATCCATGGACACTCTAAGCATTCTACCATATTGCCAATAGCCCATATGTCATCAATATGTCGTCATGGACACCATAATCAACTACCATGTTGACCAATGACCCGTAGTTCGTCCATAGACACCATCAACAACTACCATATTGACCAATGGCCCATATGTCATCCATGGACACCATAAGCAACTACCATGTTGACCAATGACCCGTATTTCATTCATGGGTGATACAATTACACCATAGGCAACTATCATATTGACCAATGACCCATATGTCCTCCATGGAGACTATAATTGACTACCTTGTTGACCAATGACCCGTATTTCATCCATGGACACGATAAGCAACTCCCATAAATGGACCAAATGTCATCCATATGTCATCCATGGACAGCATAATCAATTACCATGTTGAGCAATGACCCGTATTTCATCTATGGTCACCATAAGCCATTACCATGTAGACCAACGGCCCATATGTTATCCATATGTTAGCCATGGACACCATAAGCCATTACCATGTGGACCAATCTACCATATATCAACCATGGATACAATAAGCCACAACCATATCGACTAATAGCCCATATGTCATCCATGGACACCATAAGGAACTGTGACAACCCAGAATTTCCATTCTATACAGGAAATATCACTTCAATAGAAGTTATAACAGTTATAGTCGATTGTCAGACTTTTCGTATAAGTTGGAGTAATTTAGGGTTTACACTTCAGTAAATATTAGGAGAGTGGATGCACTATGGTTTTGTACAACACTGTTATTCCAACACCCTGTTATATTGGAAATCATTTCAGGAATAAAAATATTTCTGTCAAAAATATCTCAGGACTATAAATAGATTTTTGAACTAAATTCATTCATTATTCACAATTCCAACTAGAGAAAAGCCATTTTCTCTCTCTCGGATCTTCGGGTTTTCATCCCAAATCGTGAGTACACTTCTCTAGTTGTTATTTAATGCTTGTTATATGCTTAATAACATAGATTACATGTCAAATATGTGAGATTCGGGAGTTTACCGCCCAAGAACGTTCTTGGGGAGTAAACTCCAAAATGAAGCTTAAAGGCTATCTAATCCTATTTCCTTGATAACTAACTAGCTTAGGATATTATGTATGCATATTTGAGACTAGAAAACAATCAAAAACACCTAGTTTAGGGTGTTCACGGCCCAAGAACTTCTTGGACCGTGAACTCCAAATTCAAGGGCCAAAATGTTTCCTAATTACTCCTAAGGCTTTAGACTTTCATACCCATTTAATCCTAGCTAATTTATGGACTTTTAAACATTAGGAACACCCCTTAAAGGGAGTTTATGACCAAGGAATTACTCTTGGGCCATAAACACCAAGTAAGGGCACCAAAGTGTGCCTAGGGTTCTCTTTAGCCTTAAACAAAAGCCTAGAAATTATCCTACTTGTGCAAGGGACTTGAAAGAATTAAAACACCCATCCCTTGAGATTGTACAGTTGTAAACTCCAATAGAAATGGTCATTTTGCCTGTAAACTCCTCAAAGGAGTATTTTAAGGCCCTAAACTACCCAAAGGATTAAACCACCAAGCAAGGCTTATTCTAGAAATCAAACAACACTTCAAAACACCAAAAACCACCAAGATTGGAGTTCACGGCCGTAAACACAAGGGTGGGAATAAAAGTTAAATACTTATAGTTATTACATCAATCACATGTGATTTCACTAATCACATGCGATTAATAACTAGAAAACCAATGATTTTATCACTGTTCAAACTGTTTATCAAACTGTTTTACTTCAAAATGTTTTACAAACTCTTTTACTTATCAAATGATTTTATTAAACTTTGTTTTACTTCTTATAAATTGCATGCCCGTATATGTATACAAATATAAGAAATGTTTAAAGGGCTTAGGAAGGCCATTCGCCCTATTTCCTTTTTCTCGATTTGGATGTGGTCTGGTGGGATTTCGGGTAACCGTCCGAAGGTCGTTTCAATATTTGTTATATATCAAATATACATGTATAGATATAAAAGTACTTCCATATTCATACTTATCAGTACATCATCAGTAAGTTACCATCGGGGTAACATAGGATCATACTACTACAATTTCTAGACAAATGAGTCAGTTCATTCATGAGTCAATACTTATTACTATGAGTACTTATACAACTATACTAGAAAGAGAACATATACAACTATACTAGGCAGAGAACATACACAAGAATACGTTAACAATTGTGATCCACTGTATCAGAGCATGTCTTAATTGTCATGGCCCGAGTTGTAGCCAGAATTCTCTTGGACGGAGAGCGTGAGTTTGCGTATAGATCTATACTGGATTGACTATCCTACACCTTGCTGCTAGCTACAGCCGGACCTGCAGGTCTGCGGGTGCCAAACGTCATACCGTTATTACGACCATTCGTATGTCGTTGTTACCAGGCGATAGTATGGTGCAATTTATCACATGATACCGTAATATAAATCTGGTTTAAGGTAGTTAGTACAGCAGTAGTTCGTATAATACAACACTACAGTACTACAATAATTTACCCATTACATACTTGTAGTGATTGTTTCACTTAAACTTAAATGTACAAACTATATTTGTTAAATGATAGTTACACTTGGGAAATTACACACTTTTACAACAAACGAGCATACAAAACAATTAAGCCTTGGTAGAAGGCTACTTTAATAGAAAATATAGGTTTTTATGAGAGATTCAAACTTGTACAAACACTTACAAACATTTACTTACATTTTACCAACTTACACTTGATACATGTTCAAAGGTTTTTGGATGACAAATACCAACACTAAAATACTTATGAACTCACCAGCTTAATGCTGATAAACTCTTTCAAAATAACTTGTATTCTCAGGTCATCAGTAGTCAGGTACCGAGGCCAGCTTTTGAGAAGATGAAGTGCACCCAAGACTCATCTTATTATTTTGATTTACATTATTTTTGGTGTCTATAACTGTACAGAACATGCTTGTATTAAAATTATATATTTAATGCAATGGATGATGTTGTTTGCTTATTTACATTTACTGTGTTGTGATACTTTACATGACGTCCTCCGCCTAGAACGTTTCCGCCATTCTTGGTTTTGGGGTGTGACAGATTGGTATCAGAGCATTGTTTATAGTGAATAAAGTATATCAACCCATAAAGATATACTAAACTATAAACCCATTTGGGATTAAAACACTCTGACCAAGAGTCTATACTTTAAATACTAAGATATTTAATTAAGTATACTTGTCTGCATTCATACTAAAATCAGTGTCACAATGACAAGAACAAAAGTATTACGATTGTTAAATATCATAGGTAAGCTCGGGGATGTATGGTCAGTCCTGGGAATGGCATAGCCTGATCAACTATGCTGGTCCGAGGAGTGATTAGCATATGCCCTAGACTGGTTGTGATATGTTAACAAGTCTTAAAACTTACCAACAAAACCACAAGAAGATCAATAGAACCTAAACTTAAAATACTATAGGTGTATTTTGTACTACTAGCTACATATATACTACATTCTTATGCCTGTCTTCTCCCGTATATTTAAATGGCTGAATTCCATCACGGCGACCCGTACTTTCCAAATGAAGGCAACGCAGGATGGATCGAAGCAGAGTCCGATGATGAGCACCAAATTCCGTTGGATGATCATCAAGCTTAAGGCTTCTCGAATGGATCCGACTCTGAGCCCGAAGTCAACAACCTACCTCCAGTAGGACAAACCCCAAACAACAACCCTCGACTAGCTTTTCCAGGTCCCACTCCCTTGTGGGTAAATAACTTGAATCGTTGGAGTGACGAACAGGGTCAACCCTTACCTTACTCTGGGGACCGAACCTTTTACCACGTTAGCCATGGTGGCTCTGCGGATCGAGCTCTGCCTATCATGATCCGCAGAATAGCTCGAAATGATGAACAAGGTCGAGCGGCCATCGACTAGGTCATGGAGATTGATGCCAACTCTGGTGTCAACACAGTCCGCATCCGTCTTCTCGAAGAAGACATGGAACGGACCCGGAGAACCAATGAAATCCTGCAACAGCATCTGGTTACCTCTCAAGCAGAAGTTATGGAACTTCGAGCTCGTCAAAGGGCTCATGAACGACACCTTCAAGAAGTGATCCGTCAAATGAGAGACCTCAGAGTTCTCCCGAGGAATACTCATCGCCGTTAGATGATGTCTAGTACATCATTTTCTTTTAGGTTAAGGATTAGCCTTTAACATCTGTTCTCTAAGTAGCACTTATCTGTAAAATATTCCTAACTTTCAGTACTCTAATTAGGAATCTAAGAACTGTCAAACTTTTCCGTATGGTATGATGTAAGACCTATTGTTAGGTCGATTTTCCCTGAACTTATTACATCGGTAATACCAGTACTATTCACATCTATCTAATCTGTGGGAATAATCTTTACACTAGTGTTTTCCTACTAATCTTCCTTGTTGTGATCTCAAACACTCATTCAACCGTTGGGCTATGGTTAGTTAGTCCATGTGTCACTCTCACCTTACTTACAAATTGATTCTTACCCCTTTGCTTATCTTTATAAACTTATAGTTTAAAGATGCCTCCTTGCAAATCTCCCCGGAATAACCCTACACCTCCACCGCCTCCTCCACCTCTGGTCATCGATACAACAGCCCTAAATGCTGCCGTAGCTGCAGCAGTGGCAACTGCCATGGCACAGTATCACTCTACTGATGCCAGTAGAGGTGGAACC